AATAAGCGACAACGCACTGGCCGCGCGTACTCTCATATCGTTTCAACGAAACAGCCACAAAAAGAGACATCCTTATTATTTTAATTATACCGTAATTAAAACCAAATTTTATTAGTTTTATTAGATGCTATATTCATTAGTCTCTTCCGAGGATTTTCTAGTATTGCCTTTGTTTTGAAATGCAGCAAACTTTAATAAAAACAGTAGCAGGATTTTTATGTGTAAAAAATGCTATATTTTATTGTGGAGTATGCTATATTTCTAAAACAAAAATTTCTTGTTGTATACTAATAAGGTTATAAAGGAATAAAGAAATTAGAGTCTAAATTTTTTTAGAATGAAAAGGACGAATATTTTTAGTCAAGCAATAATAAAAATATTTCCTTATAAGGCCCTGTTAATATTGCTTTATAAGGTCCGGTTGATTATAATCTACAGTTACACACATGCTCCCACTTAATTTTCTGTGTAGATTCTACACAGAAAATTAAGTGTGAGCATGTGTGTACACACGTAAACGCACAGGTGTGCGCACACACACACACACACACACACGTGCGCACACACGCACACACGTATGTAAGAAGATATAGAAAATGTAGAATTATTGAACAGATGTTCAAGGATAAAAATACATTTTAAAAAAGACTAAAAATATAATTCCATATAGATACATATTTGTTTGGGATGTTTATTAAGCGTGGGCATTGTGTTTATGCGCGTACGCACGTTAAACGTATGTGTGGTTGAGCGCATGTGTGTGCCTGTGTGTATGTATATGTAACTTGTGTACAAACTGTTTCATCGCGTCCTTATTCTACTTTCTCTACACTTGAATCCGTTAGCCTCTTGTGCTTTAAAAAACTAGAACTTACATGACCACATTTTTAGCACTAGTAAGGATTAAGGATGATCGGGGAGGGAATGCAGGCGTAGTTCCCCTGACTCCCCTCACCACGGTCCGAGCGGTAGGCACCTCGCAGGGGTTTTAGTCGGTAGAAGTCCGACATAACCCCCGCCCTCCCCAAAGGGCAGGGGTATCCATGAGGATTTCCCCTGCGTGACCAAAAAAAAAAGGATTAAGGATGATCATACTTTATGTTTTTCTTCAAATCCTATTCGTGTTTGAACTTTTTATGGCAGCTTTCCTTATTACACGCGTCGTCGTAATTGTGCATTTACTTTTCTGAAATGTGATATTGCAATATGCTATTTTCAGTCAGATATATAATTGCAATCATTGCGGTTATATATGTGAGGTCTGTAATTCTTACAGTGGATAATGTGGTAATGTTTAAAATATTTCTACCTATCAAAAACTTAGCTATAGCTTTTGCATTGGTGAGGCACATATGTACGATTTTCAATGCTGCTACTTTCTCTGGAATGTTTGCCGCACTGGACGATCTTATTGTTTCTCGGCACTACTGGTTTTAACAAGTGCTTCCAAATTTTCAGCCACATGCTACGCTTAATTTTTTTTGAACAGTCAGTTGCAGTATCAGTATCATAATCGTAATAATGGTACATTGTTCACATCGATTATTTTCAGAAAGGAAAAGCTATCACTGGCGCATATTATATATCATTATCAGGACATTTGAAGGAAAAAATCGCAAAAAGATAATCTCATTTAAGGAAGAAAAATTGCTTTTTCACCAAGTCAACGCACCAGCTCACATATCTGCAATCGTCATGGCCAAACTTCATGGATTACGCTATGAATTGGTTTCCTCCCTCTCCTCCCCCCTATTCTCCTGATCATGTTGTGTGCGACTTTTTTTATTCCAAAACATTCAGAAATGGTTGAGAGGAGAAAAATTCGAATAGCGGCGAATGAGGAAGTGGTTGCCGTCGTAAACGAGTATTTTGCAAGACTTGACCCAACGTACTTTGCTGACGGAATGAGAGGATTAGAAAAGAAATAGACAACGTGTATTGAGCTAAAAGGAGATTATATTGAAAAATAAAACCTATCTTGCCCAAAAATATAAGTGCTTTATTGTTAGACTTGAAACTTATCAAACAACCCTCGTAAGACGAAAAAAAATCTCAAAGAAATAATAACATTTTACATTACTTTACCCGACATAAATAATTTAACTTCTCTACGGCTATCACTGTTCTTTCACAATGTAAATACGCTTATATAATATATACGCTAGTGGTGCAAATGAACTTAGTTGAAATTTACGCATCTCTTATGAATGTCGTTAAATACGAAACGTAGACGTATATTTTCCACGAATGTGCCCGAAACATTCTCCGTGATAGCGATTTGATCGGCAATCTTACTTGAAGATCTCCGAGATTATATCCGACAAACTGATTACTCCTAGAATAATAGAAAACTCTCTACGTCGAGAGTAGAGCAAAGAGTACAACGGCACGAATTAAGTACGCCTTCGGACTTGTCTTCGATCGATCGCGTCGCGAGAACGTTCGGACTGTTTTACGTCATCGTTAATTAAATAAGCAGACGGAGGTACGAATCGGAGCAGCAGATACGGCATTAATGTCAGTCTCTCGTGGATATTACAGTAATAAAAATAAATAAAAAGAAAAACAGAAAAGAAACAGGTAGCCACGCAAAATCCATGCATTCGCCTTATTTAATTTCTACATGAATGTCTTATCGCGATTCCATCGACGAGTTTCGAATCAGCACGATCAGCGACACGCTAACGTTCCTTGATTAGCGTCGTGTTACCCTTTGCAACATTCGGCAGGAACTCTGTCGTAAACAGCTCGCAAGCGACGGGAAAACAGCGACGGGAGTCACGCTTCAAGCCCCGCCGCGAGAGTGCGACGACGTGCGGGAGCGTGAAATAAGGATGCCGATTTTTTTTCAAACAGATCGATTTAATCGATTTAATCATTTATTCGAATCACGAAGAAAAAAAGCGAAAAAGCTTTAAAAAATCGGTTTGTGAAGAATCGATTTCAGAAAATCGATTTGAATCGGTATGCATGTAAAGTGAACCACTCATTAAAGTATACTATCTGTCGAATTTCTATACTCTAAAGTAGACCTCATGTAATTCATATAAAGTTTATTATGAATTAAAGAAATTAAACAGATGGTACTCTTTTGGTTGTGTTGTGTGTGGCCACAACAAGATAGAAAAAGATCTTTAAATCTTTATACTAAGGATTTAATTAGTTTGATTAAATATCGATCAAGGGTTTTTAAACGTTATTAAATAAGAAATCACATTTACTATTATATGCATATACATATGTATACAATGTATACTATTACATGGAGTGGCTGTAATTGGTTCGCGTCGTTCCGTTTCGTTGAAAATTTTCGCCCATGAGACATCGGCCTGAAGGCAACTTAATGTCGTGCAGCTATTAAGTGAGTTCAAATATTACAACTAAAAAGAATTAAAAAAAAACTATATTACTAGTAGAAACTGAAAAAATCGTATTGGCCATTTTCAAAATTTACAGATCGATCCTTGAATCGATTCAGTTCTAGAAAATCGATTTGAAATTGATCTTTTAGGCTCCGATTAATCGATCTTCGATTAAATCGATTTGAAATCGGCACCCCTAGCGTGAAACCGTTCGCTGTCACTGCGATGAACTCCTGAAAGATGGACGTCGCGATCGCGCGTGCCGCAAACGAGACGAATCTAATTACCATCGAGCCGAGAAGGAGGCCAGGATGAGTCACGGCCGATAGCGGCTCCGCAATCGGCGTGAAATTCGTGCTCGATCGTGTCGCGCGATGTCGCCCGTCACGGACCGTCGATCGGTCGTCGATCTCGCTTTCGATCAACGGGCGGCAGAGAGGAGGAGGAGGAAGAGGAGGAGAGAGAGGAGAGGAGAGCTTTTTCTATCTGCCGCGGTGGGCTCGCGTATCCAATTTACGAGCCGACCACGCGGAATAATTGAGAGATAAGGCAAGAACGGAGGAGAAGACGCTCTTTTCCTCGGGCGCTCGCTGGCGCAACGAGAATGAATTGCGGCAAATGGGGCCGTTGTGATAATGAATTCAGCTTCGCGTTCTTTCGCTCCGCGGTTTAATGAACTGCTCAATTAAACAAACGTCCCGGGGTAAATTTATACGACGCTTCCGCTGACGCTCGTCCAACGCACGTCCGACGCTGTCACCGCGATAACGCGAGGTATCATGAATATTTTGCCGCGGGCAAAGTACTCCCTCGAGCCGATGCTCGACATACCGAGGGAAAATCGCAAACGGCAGTCCGAGGCATTAAACCACGAGTGACCTTTCGACGAAACTTCCTATCGATCGAACGCGCGTGAGATGCGACTGCGACACATCGAGCGGTGATCATCGCCGCAGAATCCAGGGCGTTTTTTATCACAGAATAAAATAACTGACGAGACTGTCGTTGCGTTCGCGGAAATATCTCTACATTTTGCTCGTGAGACGAAGAGATGAGGCAACTTTAAATGCACTTTTGTCGATACCGATTACGGTAAACATACCGAATTACGCCACGTTAAGCAAAGACTAATTTTTGAGAGTTTATTTTTAAAAAAGTAAAATGGTGTCAGAGAGAGAGAGAGAGAGAGAGAGAGAGAGAGAGAGAGAGAGAGGTAAGACTATGAATCTTATTAAAAGTTATTATTGTAAATTAGCAAAACACACATACAAATTAGAAATAAACAAGATTATTTATTTATATAAAAGAATTAAGTGTGAAAACTGCAAATGTCCCGAGTTACGCCGGCTGAAATTGTAGATTCCAATTTACGCTACTGATTATGTATGACGCCACTCTATATTATATTATATTATATTATATTATATAAAAACCATATAACTTTATAATATTACACCTTTTTATCATCTTTTATTATATTTTAATCGTATAAAAGTAAAACACTTTATATTACTACCTAAAAATATCTCATTTTATCATATTATGAGGTACAATGTCACTTCATAGGTTAGTAATCATTTAGAAACAAATTTAGTCGAAAATAGTCAAAAGTGATAGATCTTTGATATAGGCTTTTGAAATTGGTTTTCACGGAAAATCACATTATATTTTCGTATATTTACTTTAGTGGAGCCATTTGACTATCACGACTTCTTTCCGGCAATTTTTAGACGCTTTTATTCAGCTGTGCTTTATTACACGCATAAAATAAGCTAAGATGGCGTAATTCGGTACGTTTACCTTACATCGTCCTTCGCTGCATCAATTTCGCATTTCATCGACAGCTATGAAATGCGTATTTTACGATAATAAAATTCTAAAACGGAAGAGACCACCATTTCTCTTTGTAACTTTCTAATTTACTCGCCGGTAAAACCGAGAGACTCCATTAAAACTCTATGATAAATTCATCGAGTTTCAAGAGCCTTTCTTTGCTGATACATTGCGCGCATCGATCCGATAAAATCTCGAGATGTCCAGCGCATCGTTTAAATATACAAATCATACTGCAGGAATCCGAGGGTGTTATTTGGACGTGCATAAGCGTGTGAGTGGCTGAAGTTCTCTCTATGCGTTTCTTGTCGTTTTAAATCACATCATTTAATTCTTTTGGGCTTCACCTAACACGTTTAAATGTATTAAATCATTCAGGACGACAAGAAACGTGTAAAGAAAGCTTCAACCGATTACACGCTCACGCGTGTCAAAATAACACACTCGGATTTGCAGCGCACGATACAACAGCGAAGAAAGGAGAGAAAGAATCCTTCTTTACCAGAATGTTCCATCAAAAAAAGTAGAATACGACATAGTCGCAAACCGCGTCGTACCCACTACGTGAGATCGCTGAAGCTACCTTCTTCGAGAGACTAAACGGCATTGTCTGACGGTATCCAATGTTACCGAGCAGTCATCAGGTGGGGATTCGCAGAGGAAGCTCAGTTCCCCGAGAGATCCCGGCGCACCGGTCACTCCTCGTCCTTGTCAACGAAGGCAGGATTCTCGCGAGTGCCTCGCGATTTGTTAAGACCCGACAGACTTTTCCGGGGATCGCTCGTGGAGCTCTCGCGTCCGACGACATCGTTGGTCCTGGAGGGTGCGCCGATGACCTCGGTCAGCTGCGTCACCGTGGCGAGCCTCAACGCCTGAAACGCGATCGATTACATACATTACGGCTGTAAGGGAGCGCAAAACGTTCGCGTTGACATGCACGCGAAAAGCGGGCCGCAAATTCGCCGCGAGCACTAAACGAGAGCGCGTCACGTCGAGATGGACGTTCGGCATAATTGGATCAATTCATGTGATGTAGCTTTGGTTCCGAGCCAATTTAATTGCCTGTGCTGTCACAGACACAGACACACACGTCACACAGACATGCACGTCTGATCGCGCTGTTGTCGCGAAAATTGAAAATATCGCTCAAAGGCGCGATTTCGCGACATCCCGCATAACGAGGTTTACGGCATTAGTCTGTTCAATATTCAACATTCTTGGCCGACTTATCATTTCCGGCGGCCATATTGCCTAGTATCATGCACACCTACGTACTAATTATATCAGGCTGGCAAGAAAGTAATGTCATTTTTTTCTATGTAAATGAAAAGCGATTTTTTCATACAAAGCGAAAACTTCATTCTGTATAATACAAAGTGTCCCATTTGTGTCAAAGTTTCCACTAAAATATCTCTTTAGGAAAGCATTTAAGAAAAAAATGTTTCGGACAAAAGTTACTTGGTTTGAAGGGAGATATAAGACAGCGATATCATTTTGTTTACAGATAGTGCTACTTTCAAGATATTCACTACTCATCAATTTTCTTAAATGGAAATTCCAATTTTTTATTTTCATCATACATATCATACATATCTTTTTCTATCAATTAATTTGAACAACCTTTGTCTGAAACATTTTTTTATTTGCCTAATATTTTTTGAAATATTTAAGGAAAATTTGGTCACTTTTTCAACATTCAACTTACGATATCTCGCTATTTGTCGCAAGAAAAAGTAATACTAGAAATTTTTACTCTATTTGATGTCAAGGATATATTACAATAACGCCCTGACTTTTGTTAATTTGATAATTTTGAAATTTCCAAAGATCGATAAGTTAACAAAAGTTAGGGCACTATTATAGCAATATATTCTTGAGACCAAATAAAGTAAAAAAGTCTAATACTATTTTTTCTTTGCGCTACAAAAATATACAATGAAAACGGTAGAGTTCCATTGAAAATATTGAGGGTAACCTTTATACGAACCTTCAGACCTTCAAACGACGCTATTTAAGATCAAGATATTGATGCTATTATATAATATGCCGTTTATCACCCTACAACTTTTCTATATAACATTTTTTTTCTAAAATCCGTATTTTTCGAAAAAAAATAACTGGCACGAGTGATAGGAAGATCTGTATATATTCAGCTTTTATCATAAACACATAGAGAAGTAATAAATATAACGAAAATATATTAAAGTATAGATTTAATGAAATCTCAGTTCAAAATATAATATCCAAGAATAAATATAAATGAAATTAATATATCAGTCATGTACAATTGGCACTAAAGTATTGAATTATAGTAAGACTACATGAATACAAACTAATATATAAATCACTCTAAAATAATGTAACATAATATTATATAATACAATAAAAGACACAAAAAGTATATATGATCTTATATTCCTATGTTACGCAATGTTTACTAACGATGCCATCATGACAATTTCATTCAATGAAAGTACTATATATTATACATATATAATATGTATAGTAGAATATACTATACACAAATAAATCATAAATGTACATCAATATACATGTTATAAAAAAAGATATACATATATATATGTATATGTATAATACATATATATATATATATATATATGTATATGTATGTATTTTTTTCTTTTTATTATATCCTGGTCAAATCACAAACTAATATAGTAAAATTACATCAATGCCGCAATACCTTGCTAAACGATGTAACTATAATTTGTAACATGTATTATATTACATTTACATACTTTTATATTATTACATTGTTAAGTGCAATATTATATCATTGATGTATTATCACTGTTATAACTCGTGTTTACTGAAATATATAAATATCCACGTATACAAATGTTTTGTATTACTTCAAAAATGTCACGTATAATATTATTTTCTATGTTACTATAGAAAAATAAAATTTTTACGTTATGTTTCGTTCAACATGTAAGCAAAACACATATCTACGACGTACATCATATAGTGATGAATCAATTCTTTCCTGTAGCGTTTTTGTAATCTACACAGAAAATTGGGTGTGAGCATATGTGTGCGTATATGCGTGTGTACATGTACAAGCACGTGCACGCATATCCTCACACACTCGCATATACGTAAAAAAATATAGAAAATATAAAATTATTGTGGACAAATGTCCACGGATAAAAAACACAATTTAAAATATGCTATGAATATAACTCCATAAAGAAATCTACTTTGATTATGTTTATTAAGCACAAAAATTGTGTGTGCGCGTTAAGCGTAAGTATAATTGACCCTATAGGTTTGAGCGCATCTATGTGTGTGTGTGTGTGTGTGTGTGTGTGTGTGTGTGTGTGTGTGCATGTGTGTGCATATGTGTACATGTGTATGTATGTGTGTGGGAGTATATGTAAACTTATGCATAAACTGTTTCATTACGTGCTTCTTCTACTTTCTTTACGCTTGATTCGACAGTTTATTTGTCTCTTGTCCTTCCAAAAATTTTACCACAATGCTTTCGATATCGACGCTCTTTATTCGATCGGAAATGAATCGGAATGTTCCTTTTTCATATAACTACGGAAAAACAGCCGCTGGATAAAAGCTATACTGCACAACTTGCAACTGTACGATTTTTGTACCGTGTGATCCAACGCATGAATTCAGCATGTTACTGTTTCTACTAAACATCTTATTGCAGACAGGACAAGCAATTGTCGCTTCAGCATATATCTGTAAATGATGAAATAACTTTTACTTGCGTATGACCTTATCACAGGTTGAACAGGTTACCTTTGGATTGCTCCGCACATCTGTGTATCTCGTATACTTTACAAAACTAAAGCTTACATGACTATATTTTCGACACTAGTAGAAGTTATTCGAGTAATCATACCAAGTACAGGCTTCGCAACTTATCACAAGAAGAAGAAGAAGAAGAAGAAGATCATACTTTACATTTTTCTTCAGATCTTACTCGAGTTTAAACTTCTTGTTCTGACAGCCTTCCTTATTACACACCTAGTCATAGTTATGTGTGTGCTTTCATGCAGTGTGATATGGCAAGTGCTGTTTCCTATTAGATATATGATTGCAATCGTTGCAGTTGTACGTACGATGTCCGTGATAATCCGGTCTTCCGGATTATCGGAATGTCCGATCTTCCGGTGATAATATTTCAAATCTTTCTTCCTATTGAAACTTTAGTTGTAACTTTTATATTGGTGAGGCGCATATATGCTATTTTCAATATTGCTCCTTCCTCTGGAATGTTTGCCGCACTGGACACTCTCCGAAGACGGTCCCGAATCGGCACTACTGCTTATCTTCTGATTATTGAGATGAATATGTTGCGTGTATCTCTCCAGACGCTTCTGCGTTTGATATTTCATGTTATAGCTGAGCTCATTACACACATAATCGTTATTATGCACATGTGCAATGTGTTTTTGAAGGTCGCCCTTTTCATTGGGTCCGTAGTCACAATCGCTGCACTTAAATATCGTCCGTGGGTATCATTAAGTGATGTATCAACTCTTGTTCCCTACGAAATCTTTGATTGCAGATTTAGCATTGTTTAGAATCTTTTTTGTTTATATTTCATTGCTACCATTTCTGCTGGAATGTTTGCCACACGAATAACTATCCAAAGACTGTCCCGGATTCATATTATTGTTTTTCTTTTATTTGTTAGAATGAGCATGTCGTATATGGGTCTTCAGATCCATCTGCATTTTGAACTTCCGTTTACAGCCGAGCTCAGGACATTTGTAATCGTAATTGTTCTCGTGCATTCGTATAATATGAAGTCGTTAATTGCTTTTGGAGTTGGTTTCGTAGATGCAACGATTGCAGCTGTACAACTGACGTCCGTGGACCTTCATGAGGTGATGTATCAACTCTTGTTCCCTACGAAATCTTTGATTGCAGATTTAGCATTGTTCAGAATCTTTTTTGTATATTTCATTGTTACCGCTTTTGCTGGAATGTTCGCCACACGAATTATTCTGCAAAGACAATCCCGAGTCCGCACTATTGCTTTTCTCTTGTTTGTTAAAATGAATATCTCGCACGTGGCGCTTCAGATCCATTTGCATTTTGAACTTCCGTTCACAGCCGGACTCAAGACATTTGTAATCGTAATTGTTCTCGTGCATTCGCATAATATGAAGTCGATAATTGCTTTTGTGGTTGGTTTCATAGATGCAACGATTGCAGCTGTACAACTGACGTCCGTGGACATTCATGAAGTGATATATCATCTCATGGCTCTTACCGAACCTTTGATTGCAGATTTGACATAACTTAGGAGCTCTTCTGTATATTGCATTGTTACCGTTTTTGCTGGAATGTTCGCCACACGGATTATTCTCCAAAGACAACCCCGAGTCCGCACTATTGCTTTTCTTTTGTTTGTTAGAATGAATTCTCTTTATATGATTCTTCAAATCCATTTGCACTTTGAACGCCCAGTTACAGCCTTGCTGAGGACATGTGTAGTCGTAATTGTTCATATGTATTCTTTTAAAATGAACTTGCAAGTTGCGCTTTCCGTCGGTTTCGTAGTTACAACATTCGCATTTATACCTTAAACGTTTGTGGACCATCATGTAGTGATATGTCAACTCATAGTTTTTATAAAACCTTTGGTTGCAAATATTACATTCGTAAAATATAATCTCGCATTTTTCAATGCTGCTGCTTCTGCTGGAATGTCTGCCAGACGAATCATTCTCCAAAGATGGTTCCGGATTCATAATATTGCTTTTCTCTTAGTTGTTAGAATGGTCACGTATGTGGCTCTCCAGATCCTCCTAAAATATAAACAAAGCTACAGTCTTACTAAGGACACGTGTAACCGTTCTTACGTTTTCATATGATGTGCTTTTGCAGGGTTACCGTTGGATTCCTAGTTGCAATGGCTGCACTTGTTTTTGTCACGTTACTAGTCCTCTTTGAGGTGCTTTATGAAATCTATCACCAAACTGAAGCTTTGTTCGCAGATATCACATTGATACTCATGCACTTTTTAATGCTGCTTCATTTTTTTTAACATTTGTTGCACGGATCGCTCTTCAAGAACAAGTTCCGGTTACTTTCTATCGACTCTCTCCTAATCAAGATTTTGCCCTTTCACAACTTACTCAGCGCAATAATCTTCTTGTATACCCGCACTGCTCAACTTTATTTTTCTTCGTGATTCAACTAATTACTGGTATCTTTCAGAGGGACAAGTTTTGATGTTCACTTTGTATGTTCTCAACGAGCGACTGTCTGAAATTATTGGCATTATGATATTGACAATAACCGAAAACGAGATATCAGAAGAACAGGAAAGGTCGCGTCAAGTATATTCGGTTGCGAAGTTTGTATACTTTCTTCATGAGGAAAACACATGAGATAATCCTCGCGAGTCACCAATCACGAACTTACGCATGGTAGTCGGTTATGATAAGAATTAAACTCTTACGCTGTTGTTAAGCGAGTGCTCTCTGTGCGAAGAACCATCCGAGGACAATCTTCGAAAAGAGTTGTTTACATTGTTCACATAGGCGGAATATTCAGAAAGAATATATCTCTCTTCTGTTTTGTTGTATATATTGTATACCTTATATATATTGTAATATATTTTGATATATACTACATATTACATATTTTTATATATATTATTATATATTTATTATATATTTATGTATTGTTAAATTAATATATACAGTGTGAGGCTCTCCGAAAACTAACACATCCGATTATTCCGCACCAAGTGTTGACATTCTATAGCTGCTTGTTATCTTCTTTTCGCAACCAAAGAAAATTTATAGGCGACTAATAATGAGTGCTATTAATTTACTGCTCTTGAATATAGTTTGATTGATCCATAGAATTGATAGAAAAGCCGGGTTTTTACTAATAACCAATGGCGGAAATCGACTCGCTTCTGAAAATCTTATCTTTCACTCGAATCACGCGAAATCCATTAAATTATAGAGATGCACAGCAACAGCAGCAAGGATATCAGTCATTCTTTCACCTCTTACAGATCGCCCAATTTCCTGCTTTTGATTCAGGCTGGAGCACATCAGTTGTCCGAACTAGAAAGGTAAAACATTTAAAAACCTCCCGAGACTATAGCAGACGTTGGGGGTACGAGGGTAGTCCCAGAAGTACCTGACCTGACATATAGATAGCGGTTGTTGTTTAAAAAGAATGACTATGGTAGAAAGTACTAACTTTATAAAGCTTAAGTTTGAAGTTTGACGATGCTACGTTGTTTAATATTTGTTTGGCAGCCATCAATAGTGAACGCTCTCAGTGAATTTGTAAACATGGAAAAATTGCTCATCGTTATGTGATACAATACTTTCATTTGAAAGGCCTCAGCCCAATCAATATGAAAGCGGAGCTAGATTCTACTCTGGGGGAGACTGCTCCTTCGTTTACAACAGTAAAATATTGGGTGGCAGAGTTTAAACGAGGCTGTACGAGCTGTCAAGACGAACATCACAGTGGTCGACCAAATGAGGTGACCACGCCAGAAATGATGAAGAAAATCCACAAAATGGTATTGAATGACCGTCGACTGAAAGTGCGCGAGTTATCAGACATGGTAGGCATTTCAAAAAGTGCTGTACATCGCATATTGACTGAAAATTTTTACATGAGAAAGCTGTACGCAAGATGGGTGCCGCGATTGGAACAAGAACAGCGTCGTGAGAATGTTTCAATTGAGTGTTTGGCGAAGTTTCGCAGCAGTAGGCCGAGTTTTTGCGTCGATTCATAAGCATGGATGAAACATAGGTCCATCACTTCACACCTGAGACGAAGGCACAGTCGAAATAATGGACCAAGGTGGCTTGATGGCTATTTTGAGGAGCTCGACGATTTGCACTATAAACAGGGTATCGAAACTATTGAACATCGCTGGGAAAAGTGTATTGAGCTAAAAGGAGACTATGTAGAGAAATAAAGATATTTTTTCTCAAATTTTTTGTGTTTTCTTTGTTAGGTCAGGTACTTCTGGGACTACCCTCGTACTTCTCTCTGTACAGACGTTCAGCTGCTCCATAATTTTGATGATATTCACCCAAAACTATAAACATCTTCCTCATTTGAGAACGTGTTTCCTACGTCAAACCATAATTGAACGACAAATGATAAATTTCTGTTTGTATCAATTTCACATCTCTCTTTAAATGGTCTATCGCAAAACATATTTATGTTATTCGACATTTACATAACAACTGTCAAAAATACTAAAACTAGGGCAAAAATATTTTCATATTCTGTACATCACGAAAGAGATATAAATCCGACCATTCCTATATAATCCAATATCTTGCAAAATATTTAATAGAAAATAGTTTGTAATGATGTCTTGAAAAGTTCTCGAGATGCGCTACAAGAATATACAATGAAAAAGGGAGGATTCGATTAGAAAAATTGAAGGTGACTTTCATAAGGCCTTGATGGCATTATTCAGGATCATATATCATAATGCTATTGTGTAAAACGCTGGGGGGAATTACAGTCTGCAAAGTAAGAGCGTGCATGGGTTAATGTTTAGAAAAATTTATTTTTAATGATTTTTAAGTACATGGATTTGTTGTACTCCATGAGAAGAAAAATGCTGTACCATTAATAATGAATCCAGTCACCACCGGCTTTGGTAATTGCCTGGCATCTCCGAGGCATACTTTCCACTAAGTTGACTGCGTTTTCGTTCGGTAAAGACCTCCAAATGAGACGAATTTGTCGTGTCAGCTGCTTCAAAGTAGACACTCTTTTTCCTCGAAGCTTGTGCTTGAGATATGCTCACACACATTTTCAATGGGATTTGCATCTGGCGACTGCGATGATCAATCAAGTATGACGATGCCAGACTGCTCTTTCCATTCGGTACAAAGCTTGCTCCGGTGTTTTGGGTCGTTGTCTTCCTGTAAGATCCAGTCCTCGTTTTTTTTTTATGAAGCATCGTTCAGCAGTCGGCCACAAATACTTCACATAAATTTTAAGCATTTTCGGAGCATTTAAATTGTATGTAAACAGATGTAATGCTCCAAAACCCTGTTTCGAAAAGCAGCCCCAAAGATGAACTTTTACAGGGTGTTTAACAGTCCGTTGTATTAATCTATTGGTCAAGGTTGACCAGGAACTTCGGATGGCAGTATATCCCCAAACAGAAGTTTCGTCCGTAAAGATCACGTTGCTCGAATCTCGGTCCAAATTCTCCTTTGCCCAAGCGAGTGTTTTCGTCACATGTTCCTCGCCTAACAGTGGTTTCTTCATTGTGCCTCGATGTTTGAAGTTATGCGCAAGGAGATGGGTTCGAATATTTGTATGTGATACTTCTATACCCTTCTGTTTTAATTTTGCTGCTCCTTGTCGCAATGTTAAGGTCGGGTTCCGCTTAAACAAATTCACAATTTTTTTTCCATATTCGGCGTCACTTTGCCTATCGAGCCACGTTCTGACAAGTCATCGACATTTTTGATCTTCTTATATTGCTGAGCCCACTTAGCGACGAACGATTTTGACTTTCCCATGTATTTAGCAGCCACTGCATATGACATTTTTGGTTCTTTGGGGTGGGAACAAAGGAACACAGCCTTGTAGCGCGATGCGTATGCGGCACTCATGGTTAACGTGTTTCTTAGGTTAGAGTTCGACGCCAACTGAATCTTTTGTGACAAAGCGTTCACGACAAAGATTTCATCTAACGGTTCACAAAATACTAGGACGATATTTCAAGCCAACTACCATTTATGCCGTACACGCTCTTACTTTACAGACTGTATGTTATGTACAGATGAATTAGTATTCTGGATTCTATTACTATTCTGGATTCAATATTTCTTTAGTAATGTCCAGGCCCGTCACATGTAGATTGTTGCGAGATGCACGCAAAATGTGACGATCACCGAGAGAAAGAGTACAATGCGGTTGACCGTGTGTTTTCTTATTATAACAAAACCTTCCTGAAGCTTTAAACGCTCTTAAGCAACTTGATCATCGCTGATTTGGAAAAGCCTAACTGCCGGGAGATTTCTCCATGCCTTTGTTTGCGACTCTCTATAATAAATTTTCATTGTCGTTCGTCCATCTTCTAAGATACTACTAAACTAATGTTTATAGCCGTGCTGAATTAGCGACAAAATACATAAACATGACATAAACAAAGGTGATCTACGGACGATTTTGGGACAATTAATATAATGTTTTGAATATCATATTATCATAATAATATATGTTGCCAAATTTTCTCATACATTACACACAAAGTATATATGATACCAGCTATATGTTGCAAATATGAATCTAACTTCTTTACTACAAAGAAAGTTATGCTAAAACATCCTAAAGGTGATATATTTTTGGTCGGTACTGTACATAAAATTAAAAATACATGAGTATATAAATATATATAAATATATAAAAATATGCGATATATAAAAATATGTAACGACATATAGTATGTATCAAAATATATCACAATATATACAAAGTAGCAATAAGACAGTTATTGCTACTTGTTTCTTTTGAATATTCCTTTTGAATATTCCGCCTATTTGAACAATGTAAACAGCTTTTGCCGAAGATTATCCTGGGCAGTTCTTCGCTCAGAGAGTACTCGCTCAACAATTGTTGCTCCGTTCCGATATTCACTGTCAGCACTGAAATTCTATAGTATACGTGACACAAATTATATATTTTCAGTACTGGCAGTGAATTTCGGAACGCAGCCTGTATAAGAGTTTAATTCTTATCATAACCGACCACCGCGCGTAAGTTTATGATTGGTGACTCGCAACGATTACTTCATGTTTCCCTCTTGAAGAAAGTGTTCAAACTGTTTCGCAGCCGATTGTAGCTGACGCGACCTTTTCTGTTTGTCTGATATCTCGCTTTTGGATACTGTGAATATCACAGTTACAAATAGTTTCAAATAGTCGTTCGTCGATCTTACAAAGTGCACATAAAATCTTTAAGAGGTACTAATAATAAGTCGAATCACGAAGAAAAATAAAGTTGAGCGGTGTAGTTATACAAACAGATTATTGCGCCGAGCAAGTTGTAAAAGGGCAAAATCTCTATTAGGAGAGAATCGATAGAAAGAAAACGGAACAACTTTGAAAAGCGATCCATGTGGCAAACGTTAAAAAAAGGGAGTAGCATTAAAAAGTGGATATGTCCTACGAATGTATTTCCTGCGGACAAAGGTTCAGTCAGATGAATTTCACAAAGCACCTTATTGAGGACAAAGAATGTTGGATAAAGGTATGGGACCATGGCAACTACAAAACCAACGATGAGGTAATCTTGTAAAAGTATATTATACTAAAGCGTAAAGACAATTATACATGTCGTTAGTCCATAGTAAGGCTGTAACTTTGTTTATAATCTGCAGAAAAAACTGGAAAGCCATACACATGTTCATTCTAACAAACAAGAAGAAAGTAATATTATAGGCCCGGAACCATTTTTAAGCAGTAACACGTATGGCAAACATTCCAGCACAAGCAGCGGCATTCAAGAGCGCAAAAATATACTTTACGAATATGACGATTACAACCAAAAGTTTTGTACAGAGAATGAGTTGACGAATCACTTAACGCAGAAACACAAAGGTGTAATGCACCAATGCGATCATTGCAACTACGAATTCAACGATGAGGTAAATCTGCAAAAGTGTTAAACATTGTACAAAACGCAAAGACGGTTACATGTGCCCTCAATAAAGCCGTAATTTTCTTTACAATGTGCAGAAACATCTGATGAGCCACATACGATGTGTTCATCCAAACATCCAGGAGGAAACTAATAGTGTGAAGCCGGGACCTTCTTGGGAGGATGATCAGTGCGGCAAACATTCTAACAGAAATAGTTGCATTGAAAACAATAGGCCTTACGAATGTGATGTGTGTGACCAAAGGTTTCATAAAAGATATGGATTAATATATCACTACAAGAATGCCCACCGACGTTTAATGTACCAATGTGAACATTGCATATACGGAACTAACGATGAAGTAAATCTGCGGAAATATTATACATTGTACCAAAATGCAAAGACCGTTATATGTGTTCTCAGTAAGGATATAACTTTTTTATAATCTGCAGGAAGATATGAAGAGCCACATACGTGATCATTCTAACAACCAAGAAGAAAGCATTATTATAGACCCGGAACCGTCTTTGGAGAATGACCCGGGCGTCAAACATTCCAGGGAAAACAGCTGCATGGAAAACATGCTTCACGAATATGATGTTTGCAACCAAAAGTTCCGCCAATTTAATAAGGTGACGACGAATCACTTAATGCAGGACCACAGAGATTTAATTCATCAATCTGAATATTGCAACTACCCAACAAACAATGAAATAACTCTGCTAAAATATTATACATTATAGGAAAACGCAATGGTTTTATGTGTTCTCAGTAAGACTATAACTTTCTTTGTAATCTGCAGGAGCATCTGAAGAGCCAGGTACAATGTGTTCATCCTAACATCCAGGAAGAAAATAATAGTGCAGAGCCGGGACCGTCTTGGGAGAGTGTCCCGGGCGTCAAACATTCTGAGAAAAACAGCTGCATTGAAAACATGCTTCACGAATATGATGTTTGCAACCAAAAGTTCCGTGAAATTAATGAGGTGACGAATCACTTAATGCAGGACCACAAGTATTATTGCATCAATCTGAATATTGCAACTACCTAACAAACAATGAAATACCTGTGCTAAAATATTACACATTATAGGAAAACGCAATGGTTATATGTGTTCTCAGTAAGACTATAACTTTCTTTATAATCTGCAGGAGCATCTGAAGAGCCAGGTACAATGTGTTCATCCTAACATCCAGGAAGGAAATAATAGTGCGGAGCCGGGACCGTCTCGCGAGAGTGATCCCTGCGCCAAATATATCAGCACAAATAGTAACAAAAAAAGGTTCAAATTAGATTGGAAATGTCAAGTTTGTAATCAAGAGCTCTGTGACAACCAAGAGTTGATGCATCACCTAGTAGAAGTCCATGGAATTCAGGCAAAATTCAATTGTAGCCAATGCAACTACAAAACCAATTTCCAGTATTTTTATCAACGTCATTGGAAAACAATGCATGACAATTACTACTACCCGTGTACTGAACCCGGCTGTGAACAGGCATTCAAAACGCGAACATATCTGTGGAGACACATACATATTACGCATCCTAACATACAAAAGAAAAGTATTGTGGACCTGAAACTGTCTTCAGAGAGTGATCCGTGCGAAAGAATACCTATACTATGCCTAGTCTGCAACCGAATATTTCCTGTTCAGAAAGAGCTGATGGATCACTTAATAAAAGACCACGGCTGTCGAACGATATTCAACTGCATCCATTGCAGCTATAAAACTAATAGCAGGCAAGACTATGAAAGGCATAATAGACTATTGCACGCGGACAATTACGGCTACGTGTGTACTACTGTGCCCGACTGTAACTAGAAGGGCAAAGTTCAATATAATCTAACACGACACATGCAAAGTGTTCATCATAATAATCAAAAGAAAAGCGAAAGTACGAACGCGGAGCCGTCGTTGGAGAATGACTCATGAATCAAACAATCCAGAATAAGAAATAAACAGCAATAAAGAGCCCAAAAATGTGCTTAAGGTTTTAATAGAAAGAAAAAGTTGAAACATCATCTCTGAGAGGGCCATAGAAGAACTGACTGCAGCGACTGCAATTACACATCTAACAAAAAACAGGACTTGCAATATCACATTGCATGATAGCACGTGTACAATTACCACTACGTATGTATTAATAAAAGCTGTTACAAGAAGTTCAAAATTGAATAGGATCAGAAGAAAAACGTAAAATATAATCACTCGAATGACTCTTAATAATGACGAAAATATAATCATGCTAACTCTAGTTTTGTATAAAAGATACAAGGATGTGCAGAAAAATTCAAAAGTAGACTGTATCATCTGTGGTAATATCATACACAGGTAAAGTTTATTTAATCGTTTACTGATGTATGTTGACAGGACAATTACTTGTTCTGTTTGCAATAAGATATTTAGTAGGAAGGGCGGTATGCGGAATTCATTCATTGTATCACGAGCCAACGATCCTACTTCTGCAAGCTTTACGGCATGGCATTTGTCCATTCGCAGTTTTTACGCAGTTATATGGAAAGAGGGAGAAAAAATGTTCGGAGTAACTTCCGATCGAATAATGTCAGTAGATATTGAAGCATTATTGCAAAACTTCTAGATAGACAAGCGATAAACAGACTGTCGAATTAAGCGTAGAAAAAGTATAAAAAAACCGTGATGAAACAGTTTATGCTTCAGTTTCCACACACTCGCTCAAACTTACATCTTGAAACGCACATATGTGCTTATGCGTGCACACACACATAAGATATCCGCGTTTAGAAAATATTCGAGATGGAATTTCTTTGTAGAATTATATTTTTGTCCTTTGTGAATTGTGGTTTTGTTCCTGGACATATATTCGCAATAGTTCTACATTTTCTATACTTACTTATGCACGTGCGTAAAATGTTTTATTTATTGTACAATACATATAACTATACATACAAAAGGAATGGAACTAGTGCAATTCTTGAGCTTAATCGAAACCTAAGTCCATGTCATTGTCTGATTCCTCTTCCGGTTCTTTCTTTTTTTTCTCTTCCTTGGTTGGTACAGCTTTTGGCTGTTGGCAGGTGCTACTGCAGCTGGAGGCTCAGCTCCTGCAGGCGCGGCACGAACACCAGATCAAATATCGGTAATTAGTTCTTTAACATCGGTTCCATCCAAAACTTTGGCAACAGCCTTGGCCAGTAAGATTCAACATTAACATTCGCAGCTTTCAAAATAGTTTGTATTTTTTCTCCCGTGCGTGATGTGTGTACACATGAACGTGCGCACATACATGTTCATAATTTTCTGTGTAGACTACAAAAACCATACATATGGAAGAATTAAAGGATGGATATATGAGGTACGTCATAGATATATATTTTATTATTTACTAAATTATTTGTTAAATGAAACATAATATTAAACCTTTTTTATAACAAGATAAAGAAATATAGTCTGCAAAGTAAGAGCGTGTACGGGTTAATGTGTAGAAAAATATATTTTTAATGATTTTTAAGTACATGGATATGTTGTGCTCCTTGAGAAGACAAATGCTATACCATTAATAATGAGTCCAGTCATCACCGGCTTTGGTAATTGCCTGGCATCTCCGAGACATACTTTCCACTAAATTGACTGCGTATTCGTTCGGTAAAGACCTCAATGTGAGACGAATTTTGTCGTGTCAGCTGCTCCAAAATGCACACTCTTTTTCCTCGAAGCTCGTGCTTGAGATATGCCCACACATTTTTAATGGGATTTGCATGTGGCGACTGCGATGGCCAATCAAGTGTGACGATGCCAGACTGCTCTTCCACTCGGTGCAAAGCTTGTTCCGATGTTTTGGGTCGTTGTCTTCCTGTAAGATCCAGTCCTCGTTTTTTTTTATGAAGCATCGTTCAGCAGTCGGCAGCAAATACTTCTCATAAATTTTAAGCATTTTCGGAGCATTTAAATTGTATGTAAACAGATGTAATACTCCAAAACCCTGTTTCGAAAAGCAGCCCCAAAGATGAACTTTTGCAGGGTGTTTAACAGTCCGTTGTATTAATCTATTGGTCAAGATTGACCAGGAACGTCGGATGGCAGTATATCCCCAAACAGATGCTTCGTCCGTAAAGATTACGTTGCTCCAATCTCGATCCAAATTCTCCTTTGCCCAACCGAGTCTTTTCGTCACATGTTTCTCGCCTAACAGTGGTTTCTTCATTGTGCTTCGATGTTTGAGGTTATGCGCAAGGAAATGGGTTCGTATAATTGTATGTGATACTTCTATACCCTTCTGTTTTAATTTTGCTGCTCCTTGTCGCAATGTTAAGGTCGGGTTCCGCTTAAACAAATTCACAATTTTTTTTCCATATTCGGCGTCTCTTTGCTTATCGAGCCACGTTCTGGCAAGTCATCGACACTTTTGATCTTCTTATATTGCTGAATCCACTTAGCGACGAACGATTTTGACTTTCCCATATATTTAGCAGCCATTGCATATGACATTTTTGATCCTTTGGGGTGGGAACAAAGGAATACAGCCTCGTAGCGCGATGCGTATGCAGCACTCATGACGGTTAACGTGTTTCTCAGGTTAGAGTTCGACGCCAACTGAATCTTTTGTGACAAAGCATTCACGACAAAGATTTCATCTATCGGCTCACAAAAAAACTAGGACGATATTTGAAGCCAACTGCCATTTATGCGGTGCACGCTCTTACTTTACACACTGTATATGTGGAAGGTTATTTTCAAAGACATTTTTAAGAATTTTTTTAACAGAAACGGTTAGATCAATGGACTTGAAATTTTTACAATTTATTCATTAATGTTCAAAGTATAAAATAAATTTTATTGAATCACAAGAACCGAACCAATTTATAATTATAGATAAAAATTCAGTCCGTTTGCTGTCGACATAATTCCGGGCCTCTCACTACTCTGAAGCCAAAAAATTAGAAAGATTTTAAAAATATACGGTTACCATTATAGCCCGTACCAAAATGAAGGCAATAAAACCAAGTTTGGAAAAAGAATGACTGTACAAAGAAAAAGTATCGAAAATGATTAACAACAAAATCGTAGGTTAAAACTATATGTTCGTTTTTCGTTTTTTATTTTTTTCTTCAAATGGCTGTGCTAACTTTAATGTTAGGCTAGCACAGCCATTGTTTTCTTCGAAATGGCTGGAGCAACAAAATCGAGAATAGAACAACAAATTAGCAACAGAAAAGCACTAAATTTCTATGCTAATTTCTATCCCATGCGATTGTGCTGAAATCGCTGTGCCAGCTTAATAGACCTAAATATTGAATTTATTGACATATCCAAGTTGTTTTAAATTGTTTTTAATGTTTGTATATAATACGTTTAGCTTCTCAGCGATCTCTCATGTCGTATAACATAACAATTGGATTCAAGTAATGTTTTTATTTTGTCGTCATTAACCTCAAATGACCGACCTTACTGTGATGTGCAGTTTTCACAGAAAAATCTCCTGAATGAAAACGAGTAAACCAACACTGATACTGGCGTTCTGTTAAAGACTCCTCACCATACATTGCACATAACTTGATTTGATGGACTTATGTCGCGTTCTTTGCTTTTGGAAGTAAATATGTAAAATGTGACGAAAATACTCGTTTTGATTTTCCATTTTTAACTCAATGCCAAATAATTCTTTATCGAATAATGCACTTTTTTTTTAAAGAAGCTTGAAATAATTGAAATATCAACTGTCAAATGATATAGAAGTTATAGGATTTGGAATGAAGTTACTTGCGTTTATTGACAGGTAAAGCCGTCTATCTTTCTTTCTTTCTTTCTTTCTTTCTTTCTTTCTTTCTTTCTTTCGTTCTTTCTTTCTTTCTTTCCATAGCTGGCTCTGTGGGAAGTGGGTATCCCCATACGCCATTCTCTAGTTTAAGAATGTCAAAATGAAAGAAATAATAATGAGATATGTATAAAAAAACAGGGACAACGCGTACGTCGTCCGAACAATAAAAAATATTGCGTAGATTCGTAGTAACTGCATCGAACAGCCACGAAGGCTAACAAAAGCTGACTGAAAGCCATTTATCTGTGAAAAAGCGACATGACTTTGTTGCCAACCTGATACTACCCGGCGGATTTCACTCGCGTCGACGCGAGTACGATGATCCAACATACACGACGATCTTTTGACCTCGCAGTCCGGGATAACATCATATGTTTCGCGAGCCGCGGAAATACCCGCGTTCGCTATACATAATGCAATGTTAGTTTCTTTCGCTTTGGCCTGATTGGTGTACTAAAAATTGATACGTCAATCGGCACGCTGAATTTGCCGATAACGTTCGATATTGATCGGCCCGTAAATGTCAATGCGGGTGTTTATTCGCATCATACTCGCGCTTAGACGCGTGTTAGCCCGGCAGCTGAAGACACACAATTGCTGGAAGAATCTAATGGAATTCGTCTATTTCCAGCGACACTCTACACAGTCGTTTCGGACTTTTCCCCTGGGTTACAGCACGAGCCAAGGGAGAGAGGGAACGGAACAATGCGGTCGAAGAGAAAAATGGCGCGGGACGCGTCAATACGCCGCACGCTCACCGCGCTCGGCGAATTAACGATAAACAAGATCGCGTAAACAGACGGAACTCACGATGTAATTGCATCAATCCGTTTGATTTAGCCGTAGTTCTGGCTCTATTTAACAGCCGGATGCGCTGCTACGCAACTAGCTACGTGCAGCATCGAAGACTCCCGCGCGATTCGGCGTATGGATCGTTTCTGTCGACATTACTGTTCGATCGTGATCACGCGTGTGAAAATGCAGCGGCGAGATCACGAGGAAGTCACAGTATAAGAAAGAACAGTAGGTTCATTCGATGGCGGTGCTTTTGATCTCAAGTGCTACAAGACCGCCATGTTATTGGTTGTACGCGGGTTATAATTTGAATGACAATGAATAGTAGCTAAAACAGATTTATTGCTGTTTTTCAATATTTACTGTCAAATCTATAATATACGTTATAAAATAATATAAAAACATGAACTATTATTGATATAATATGTTAATAATATTATAATTAATAATATATAGCATATTACTAATTATAATATAGAAAGATGTATATTTATATACAGGGTGATAAATTTCAAACGTAACAGGTAAAAATTCTCGAAAACTAAATGATATTGAGGTCCGCCTTTTTTTTTATATTGTATTGTTTCGAAGGGGACACATTTTGATTAAGACAAAATTTAACACTTTGCAAATTTAAATTTGCACTTTCGCAGTTTATTATACAACATTTATACCCACCTCTTTCATACATTTTACTGATTTTAATAAAACAACAATATTATATTAAAAATTCGGTCATATGGTTAATCGTTGCTTACATTTATACATTTGGACAACTATTGTGCACCATATTGTTGGTTGTGCAGTTCGGTCATGTGCGACAAACGACCGTTCGTACTATTTCGTGCTGAGTGAACCTACTGTTCTTTCTTATACTGTGACGAAGTCAATCGACGAAAGAGTTCTCCGGCGACTTCCGTTTCCAGAAGCGCCGACGATTTATTATCGCGCGGCTCGCTCCAGCGCGCTCTCGCTCTCACTCTCGCTCTCGCTCTCGTCGTCGATCATCCTCGCGGGGATTCACAGCGCAGCTTCAGAATGACTTTCGGCATTTTATTTCGCGTCACACGAGAAGCAAATGTTTCGCGCATACGCGTCCACTTGCCTGCTAGCAGCTGCGACTGACGTCAGAAATTCATGAGCGCGGGCCGCGTTACGTAGGAAGTAAACGGGCGGTTTACGAAACATACGTTTACCGTATATATGAGTGTATACATGTGCATACATATATGTATAAACGCTTGTCATGAGCACCGTGAGACATGCTAATTATGCACGTATGTGTACGTACGTATCAAAATAGATA